AAGGTGGAATGGGTTTTTTGAAAAAAAAAAAAAAATGCATTTTTTTTGTTTGTTTTTTTTTTTTTTTTTTTTTTTTTTTTTTTTTTAGGTCTGGATCAAGAACCCGAGATCGCAGGAGGTAACTGTCTAGATTCATCACTGGGCTCTCAGTTGATTTTTCTGTAGGCATATTTCTTTCTTTATACTTGATGTTTTGGCAGGGCATGCCTTTACTCTCGGCACTGGGGAGGCAGAGGCAGGTGAATCTTTCTTTATGCGATGAAGGCTAGCCTGGTCTTCATGCCTGGTCTTCATAGCGAGTTCTAGGCCAGCTTGGGCTATAGGGAGACCCTATCTCAAAAAGACAAAAAAAAAAAAAATCACTAAAAATTGATGTTTACATCTTTACAACTTTGTTAGTGCGTGAGGCTAGATTGTAAAGGGTATAGTGTTGGTTGAGGCTTAACAGCAGAAAGGCACTTCACCCCTGCCAAAAGTGAGAGGGAAGACCATGGGGCTTCTGCTGAGACCAGCAGGCCAGGTAGGAGTAGCCAAACCCTGTGTTTTCAGAAGACATATTCAGGGGGAAAGTTGGCCATCAGAGTAATTTAGAGGAGTATTTGCATCCTATATATATATATTTGTGGAAGGAAAGGGAGAAATGCCAGTGAAGTTGAAGGACAAAAGTTTGTGAGAGCAGAGAGTAATGGAATGGGCCTTTGAAACGTTTGACCCCTGTGGTGCCTTGGCCTTCAGTGTCTTTTGGGTTTTCCAGGTCACGTTCCCGGGATCGGCGAAGGAGGCGGTCTAGATCTACCTCCCGAGAACGACGGAAGTTGTCCCGGTCCCGGTCGCGAGATAGACACCGGCGCCATCGCAGCCGTTCCCGGAGCCACAGCCGGGGTCACCGCCGGCCTTCCAGGGACCGGAGTGCGAGATACAAGTAACTACTCTGACTCCTACAGTAGCTGCAGCCAGGAGTGAGCCCTTTCTCTTTGTGTTCCCAGGGTCTGCTGAGGGTCTGGCCTTTTAGCTACAGCACCTGGTAGGGACAAGCCTGGACTTGTGGAAGGCAGACTCAGACTAGCATCTGATCTTGGGGAGTACAGAGGTGGGGCCTGGTGCTTGCAGTAGGGTAGAGCTGTGAGGTGCTCAGGCATGGCCCCTCTGGGTGACACTGCATGGGTCTGGGAAGCTCCATGAACTTTTGCTTGGCACAGAGAGCTGAGACTTGTGTCCTCCTTACTTCTGTTGTATTTTTGTTTTGAGACAGACTCTCACTTTGTAACCTAGACTGGCTTGAACTCAAGATCCTTCTGCTTCAGCTTCCCAAATGCTGAAATTTAAAGTGTATATACCACCCTACCTAGCTCTTTAGTTTTCAGTTTTTCTTTTTTCCATTGTCTTTTACATACCAGATCATAATCCGTATGCATAATTTTGTATTCCCATTTGCTTTGTTTATGTTACTCGGAAAATTTGTCTTATTAAAAATCTTTTCAAGTGTTACTTTTTACTAGTTACTTTATTTGTTTTTGAGACAGGGTCTTACTATATAGCCCTAGCTGGCCTGGAACTTGCTATGTAGACCAGGTACATCAGGTTGGCCTTAAATACTCAGAAAAGTCCACCTGCCTTTGTCTCTTGAGTATTGTGATTGAAGGTGTGCACAAGTTACTTAATTTTGAGATCAGGTCTCATGTGTAGCCCAGGCTGGCGTGAACTTGAAAGCCTACTAACTCATCTTCTCAAGTGCAGGGATTATAGGTGTAAGCCACCATACCCAGCTCAAAATGTCACTTTTTAAATGTCTACCTAATGTTCCCTGTGTGGCGGCCTAGACACTAGATGCAGTCAGGCTTGCCTGCCTTCTGGTTTGTCTACTAGGGATCCTGAGGTATGGTTCAGGGTTGAGATTCTACCTCACCGGTTCCTGTGCCAGCCAGAGGGTGAAGGCAGCCTCCACTGAGCCTCTGGTTCCACTTTCCCAGGTTCTCCAGGGAGCGCACATTGAGAGAGGAGTCCTGGGAGTACGGGCGGAGCGAGCGAGGGCCTGCTGACTGGAGGCTGGAGAGCTCCAACGGCAAGACTGCGTCACGGAAGTCGGAGGAGAAGGAGGCTGGCGAGATCTAAACCTAGCTCTGGCACTGTAAATAGTCTGGCAAATGTTCAGCACAGCCTAAAATTACCCTTTATATTTGCTGAATACAGCTCATCTTTTGTAGTTAAAATTTCTATTGTTTGGCGTTAGCTGTGAGTTTCTAGAGTTGTTCAGAATTGCTCCTATGTTTGGGTTGTGTTATATAGGAACAAATAAATCTGGCGGCTGCTTCCTGACAGCTGTGTTGGGGTCTCTGATCCAGAGACACTTCACTAGGACCCTGTACCTGTGGGGACAAGGGCTGGTGTTGCCATCACCCTAGAAAACTGACCAAATGACTGGCCACTCTTAACTTTTGGCATCCTACATGTGAGGGCACTCACAGCAAATCTGAGCCAGGTGTTTGTGGCTGCCCTGTTTGGCTCACATTCTGTATCTCAGCTGCTCATCGACGCTCTCAGTGCAGACCACAGAGTAGGCTCTGTAGGTGGAAGAACTGTGTCTGGGCAGACCAAACTTTAGCTCAGGCGAACTACACCACAGTTCCATCTTGATGTCACTTAAGTAAAAAGACTATCAATGGTGCCTACCTGGCAGCCAGGATGTCCTTGGGAGGGGGCTGTAGCTTTAGTGAAACATTTTAGTTTACTGTTGTGTGGGTCACACCTGCTGCTGCTCACAGAGGACCAATGCCTTAAGACCACAATGAAACCCAAATGGAAAGACTAACTTGACTAAGTGCTCCTTCCCATCTTTACTTCTCTGGGGAATTCTTGAGTGTTTTTCGAGGGAGCTTAGTTGGTCATGTTAAACATAGAAGTTCCCATCCCCATGCCATGCCTGCAGATGTGTAAGTGCTGTCCTTGAGCTGGTTGGTTTAGTGGTCTCACATAGGATCTGGTGGTCACCAATGTTGTAATGTGGCTCCTGGTGCTACCCTGGGCCCTTGCCCCTTGCAGGAGGGTATGTGTAGATGGACTCCTACTCTGCTGGTCTGTGACACAGGCCTTCTGGTCAACTCATGGGAAAAGAGGTAGAGAGGTATATCCTTGGAGGATCCACTGAGATTTGGTGCTGTGCTGTATTCAGGTGCCATGTGTAGGTTTCATCTCTAGCACCTCAGCCTCCAGTTGGGACTTGTATTCAACTCTTCTCTGCTATCTTCCTGGAGGAAGGGCCTGCACCTGAGCTTCTTGGTCGCAGGTGGACATTATGACAATAGCTGTGGTCACTCAAGCCAGAAACATTGCTTTGTTTCCTGGATTCTCTTAGGGCTTAACCAGAGAGCCTCAACCCAGTGTGTCTGCTTTGGATCCTTTTCTGTATAGATATAAATTTGTGTGTGGACCAGCAGCTGTGTTACACTTTGTTTTACCAGGAAGTGGGATTCACCAGGATCTGTGCAGTGCCCATATCCCTGCCTCTGTCCTCTGACTGCAGCTAGGCTGCAGAGTCAGGTTCACAGGCTGCTTGTGGTAAACTTCAGCTAGTGCAGTCCTTTAGGCCCCCACCAGCCTCAGAGGGAAGGGGTAGGTGCTCCTCTTACCACTCTGTGGGGACAGTTCTGTGGGTCCTTGGTGCCCCTCAAATGGTTTCAGCCAAAGGAGCCTCTGTCCCCAGATAAGCCACCTCTTCAAAATCCAATCTGTTGCAGGGCACCCACATTAGTACCTCTCATCTAGTGTGGTGAATCCTTTCCACAGCAGTGCCTTTGCATCTTGAAGGCATGCTAGTGGGGGTCATCTAAGTCTGGGAGATGTGTTCCTGCTCTGTGATGGGATCTGCAGTGTTAGGAAGATCACCCAAGTGGACCAGTGGCTCTGTGCAAAACTACCACCATCTGTGCAGCCCAGACTGAGGCAAGACCTGAATGCCCTTCTCCGACTCTGCTTTGCTTACCCTGAGAAAGCTTTCCACATCATTGATTTGGGGATGCAAGGAAGTGGACGGGATCTTATTATATAGCTCTTGCTAGTCCTCCAACTCAGAGAGATCCACCTGTTTCTGCCTCCTAAGTGTTGAGGATTAAAGTGGTGCTCTGCTATGCCTGGCATTTGGTAGAAGTTTTAGGAAAGTAACAAATGGCTCTTGGAGTCCTTGATCAGGAGCCAGTCCTGGAGCTATATCTGTCTTGTGCACAGTGGTTTCATCAGGTCTGGGGAGAAGACAAGAGTTGCTCCTAAATCTAGGTGGGTTAATGGTAGACCTTAGAGATAAAGCGCAAAGAGGACACCAACTGGGCTCACCTGGCATGCAACTGCAGCTTCTGGGTTGCAGTTGGCAGATCCTTGCTTAGGTAGAATCTGTGTGCTGGTCAGGATCCCAAGGACTAGCTAGAAAGGCTGCTTGTCTCAGTTTAGTTTGTTTTGGGGCTTTTTTTTACACTTTTTGTGAAGAGACAGGCTTGCCTTGTTTTTCAGACTATTGAACTTTAGTGCCCAAGACACTCCAGCCTCAGTCTTTGAGTAGCTAGCACATCTGTGTGCCAACACACCTGAATGCTTTGTTTTGCTTTCTTCCTGTATTAGGATTCCCTGGCAATGGGGAGAATACTTAACAGGAACTTTATTGTGAGGGTTGGCTTATCTCATTTCATAAGAAGTCCTAGGATCAATCTAACCCAAGGACCCAGGAAACGGTACTGATTAAGTTCTAGTCTAAACTCTAGGCCCAAGAACCAAGGGAACCAGTGATCATCCTGACCCTTGTTGGGAGGCCCAAGGACCAGGAGTACCCACAGGCCAGAGCAAGAAGAGGTAGACATCTAGCTCAGGTAGAGCAAATATGCCCTTCCTGGCCATTTTGTTCTTTCTAGGCCCTTGGTAGATGGGTGATTCCCAGTGCACTGGGCTGGTGATCTTCACTGTGCCTGGTGATGCTAGTGCTTCTCTTCTGGACCCCTCACAGGCACCCCATAAGCACTGCTTTACCAGCCCACCTGGGTTCACTCAGACTCTCAAGTGCGATTAGCCATTGCATGTTCTTGTTGGAGATGTTTTCTTTCATAGTCCACTCTGCACATTCCACTTGTTCACACAGGACACAAGTTGGTTGTCTAATGTCAAGTAAGAACTAAAGGAATAGTGGATTGCAGGACCCATTCCTGTGCTTGGGATAAAGCAAAGGGACATAGGTGGAAACCAGGTTTCTGTAATGACCATGACTGATTAGCAAAAGGAAGAAACTGCCCTTTCTCTTGGTAAAGTCAGATAAAGGCAGGGTTTGGCTTCTGCTCACCTGTCTTGATAATAGGCATTGAACCTGGGGACCTACATCCAGAGTCTGGCAACACTAGGCTTTTACCACAAGCCTTCCTGGTACTAGAAATGGTTTTTGTCTGTAGTGGGTAGGTTAGCCTTGTGCCAGTTGGTGGCACTGCCCTAATTTTGGAGGCTGGTGACTTAGGTGTTTTAGACACCCCAGCTCCTATCTACCAGGACCCGTAGCCCTGTACCCCATCCTGCTACAGAAAGTGGTGGTCTATCAGTGGTTTGGGCCCAGCCTACATGGATATAAGAAGAGTCAGGAGAATGAACATCGAGCATCCCTGGGCAGGGCCTGACCAAGGCTACTCTGTAGGTATGAGACCTGTGACCCTGACCTTTCTGAAGGACAAAAGCCTCAGGTGTTTGCCCAAATATGACCAAGTCCAACAGCATATATTTGTGACCTAAAGCCTCAGGCCTGCTAGGTGGAGACTTCCTGAAAACTTCTTGATGTCCCATGGCCATTGTAACAGGCAAAACCTTGGGCCTTTATCATATTAACCTGGGGATCCTAAAACTTGGCCTCTCGGGGTGGGGAGAGCCCTCTGTACTTGTATTCATCAGGGAGGGGACACATACAGGACATGGCCTTGGAGGACTCACCTCTAGGTGAACAATACTTAAAGGGCAGTGCCTAAGTCATGTGGTTCAGCAACTTGCTAGTGAGGCCTGCATGGTGGCGTAGAAGTACCCAGGGTAGTGCCATGTGAAGGCTATCAGCAGATATCAGCCTTGATGGGACCCCCTCCAGCAACAGCAGGTGTATCCAGTCTTAAGTTCTCCCCTGGAAGTGGTGGCATCCACATGTAGCTTGTGTGCATGCAGGGTGCTCAGAGTAGACATTGTCAGACACAAGTAGTTGGTGGTTAGAATCAGCCTCCTGGCTATGGGCTTTAACTTGAATAGAAAAGGCACTCAATCAAGTCCAAGGTTTTTTTTTTTTTTTTTGGTCCTTTTTTTGAGACAGGGTCTCCTAATAGCTCCAGCTGTCCTGGAACTCACTATGCAGAGCAGGCTGGCCTTGAACTCAGAGATCCGCCGGCCTCTGCCTCCTGAGTGCTGGGATTAAAGGTGTGCACCACTGTGCCTGGTGTCAAGTCCAGGTTTTAAGTTTTTGTTGAGGAAGAGGCTAGGAAGGTCCTGCAGGTGGATGCATGGGCATGCTTGGGCCAGGGCTGGTGTCAGGTCTTGATCCTGCAGCTGCTCAGCAGGTGAACCAAAGGGTTCCCATCCCCGTCCACAACTCTCCAAGGCCTCAAAAGCATAGGTTCTGACATTGCTGTGCGGCTTCTTCACAGTGTGAGTGCCATCTCCTGGGCATCTCCTTGCTCAGTCCATGCACTGAAACTCACACAGTCACCCAGGGGCTCTACAAAATTCCCATTGCCTGCTGCATTTGTAGTCTGGTCCAGAGGGTCAGTGAGCTCTGATGTCCAGAGTCTTGTTTTGACCTGTGACCCTCTCAAGTTTTCCTTGGACTGCAAAACATCACATTTTTCCTATCACATATTTTTAGTAGAGTACACTGAATTTTAGTGTGTATTTTATTGTCAGTGTCTTCTGCCTTCTAAGTCAGAAGATACCTCTTCAGGTCTACTTACTGCTAAGATGACAATTTCTTCAAGGGGTTGTTGTGAGAATTAAATGGGTAACATGCTATGTACCTGGCTTCTAACACATGTTCCTTTTAGAACAGTGAGATTTATGGAGTGCCTATGATATATCCCAGTGATGACAGCAAAACAATGTCATTGAGCACTCACTCTGCCTTGTGGCATATGACATTCAAGTTGTAAAAATTTTAAGAATGTGAAAATTTTAAGTAGTAAACTGCATATAACAAATTGCCATTTTAGCCATCTTTCATGTGTACAATTCAGTGGTATTTAGTGCACCCACAATATGCAGCATCACTACTACCAAGTTCTGGTACATTTTCATCATTCAAACAGAAACTTGAGCCCTCTAGCTGTAACTGACTAGCCCTCTCCTGGAGCCCCTGTTTATGTCACTATAGATTTTCTTATTTTGGGAATTTTACAGACATGGAATTATGCTCTATGTGGCCTTTGGTGTATTGGCTTCTTCCACTCCACATATTTTCAAGGCTCAGCCACATGTAATAACTTTCGGGTAAAGAATATTCCATTTTGTGTGTGAGCCACATGTTGTTTACTGTGATGGTTAATCTTGTCATCTGGTGGGATTTAGAATTACTGTGAGAACATGCCTCAGTGTGTCTATGAAGGTGTTTCCAGAAAGGTTTAACTGAGGAAGGAGGACCCACCCTAAATGTGGGTAGCACCGTCCCATGAGCTGAGATCCTGGACTGAATACAAAGGAGAAAGAGAGCTGAGCACCAGCCTTCATCGCTCTCTGCTTCCTGACTGCAGACGCAATGTGACCAGCTGCCTTAAGTTCCTGCCGCCATGACTTCCCCACCATAATGGACTGTACCCTTATACTGTGAGCCAAAATAAAACTCCTTCCTTCAGCTCCTCTTGTCAGGTATTTTGTCACAGCAATGAGAAAGGTAGCTAATATACCCAGTCACGTACTGGTGTTCATAGGCTGTCTCTCCACTTTGGGCCATTTTTCTAGTAGAAAATAGTCTCTTACCCACAGCTTACAGTGTGCTACAAGCAGTGCTAGGAACATCACTGAGACAGAGGATCTGTGATGGACATTTTCCAAAGATGTCTTAGGGCCTGGGGAAACGGACTGCCATGTTTTCCCAGGATTACTGGACAATCCCTGACCCTGTAGTGCTTTGACTGTATTCATTCCTACCCAGAGCTTCCTATGAGGGCTAGGAATGGACTGCTGCCAAACCACACTATACCCAAGCCTCTTTTTTTTTCTTTTTTTTTTGGTCTTTATGAGACAGGGTCTCCCTGTAGCCCCAGCTGTCCTGTCCTGGATTCACTATGGAGACCAGGCTTGCCTCGAACTCACAGAGATCCGCCCTCCTCTGCCTCCTGAGTGCTGGGATTAAAGGTGTGCGCCACCACGCCCAGCCCAAGCCTCTTTTTGATGCCTCAGACCTACAGCATGCTCTACAGGGAAGAGACATGACCAGGAGGCATTTGATTATGCTGCTTTGGCTCTGGATTTACTCTCTACTGTCTTCATGGGGACAGGGGCACTATCTGCAGAGTGACTAAGTGGGTGCTGGGCTGGGCTCAGACTTGAGTCTTGAGCCCTTGATGGTCCCTGGCCTTTAGTGTTCTAAGAATGAGCATCCTGGGGTGGCACCTCCACAGAATTGTCTGGTGTCTGCAGTTGTGCCACTCATTCCCAGTTTTATCCATACTGTACTTGGGGGACCTTAGTGGAGAGTGAAGGAGGAAGATTTGGTATCAGTCTGAAGAAGGGTAGCTGCCTCACCAGCCACATGTTGGGGAACTCTGGAAGAGCTGGGCCAGAGTGTGTGTGTGTAGAAATGTGGGGATAGTAATTGTTGGGGAACTCTGGAAGAGCTGGGTGTGTGTGTGTGTGTGTGTGTGTGTTGAGCCTGAAATGAAACCCGGGGTAGGAATGAACCCAGCCAAGCACTACAAGGTCAGGGGTTGCACAGTAATCCTGGGTAGAGGGCTCTGTGTGGCTCATCTTTCCTTCCCTTCTCACCATTCCTGTCTTTTCTTGCTTCCTATCTGCACAGAGGATCTAGGTCTAAGGGATATCTCCCTTAGAGACTTCCCCATGCCAACCCAGGCACCTTTGTGGCCAAGAGAACCCAGATAGGATCCCTCGGATGCCTGGCCTTTCCCAGCACAGGGACATGGGTCAGAGCCTTCTGCAGCTATACTGTAATAGTTGTCCCCTTTTTGGAGACAACAGAAAGGTCCCTTGGCCAGGGACACAGAACCCAGGTGCACCAAGAGATGCAGGTGTAGGACAGGAAGAAGGGTCTGATGAGGGGCCAAGAGGATTAGGGCAGGGTCACAAGCCTACAATTAATGGTATTTGCAGGTCAGCACTGTGCTTAGAGCTTAGAGTTCCATGGAGGCATGGAACTCAGGTGTGAATAAATCAGGGTATTGGTTCCCCTTGGTTACCATCAGGCTGTGATTCAGGAATTGTGGAGAGAGGAAGCACATAGATCAGTGGCCATAGACACCACAGCTGCCTGCCCTGCACTGTCTGGAACCCAGGGGTTCTCTGGTCTTAGGGCAAGGTCCACCAATACATCAACCCCCTTGCCTACCTGCAGTTACCTTGAAGTTGACAGGATCCACATGCAGCTTGTGGGCATGCAGGTCACTCGGTTCTGACAAGACAGTAGGAAGGTCATTGAGGTGAGGTGGGCTGAGGTGTTGGTGAGCATATCTGTCACCTTGCCTTGGGCAGAGCCAGGACTCATGTCATAGGGAAGTAGGTCTTGGTGGTGGGGAAGCTGGCAAACATCCTGCAGGAAGAACCCCGAGAGGCTGAGTTGGGAATGTGTGTGGGCAAGAGAGCAGGTTAGAGACTGCCCTGATGCATCCAGGGCTCCTTTGCTCTCCAGAGATCTAGTGGGACAGAAGGGTTTCCTCACCTCTCTATGGCCTCATACTAAAATAGGTTATCATCAGCAACAGTCTGCTTTAAGGCAATCCTGACTGTGGCCTTGCCTTAGCAGAAAGGTCCATGGTGGGTTCTCATCAGAACCGGAGTGCTGGACACACAGAGAGTGAAGCTTTTTTTAAAATTTTTTTTAATGTGTATGAGTGTATTGCCTGCATGTATGTGAGTGCACCCGTGTCATGCAATCCCGAGGAGATCAGAAGAAGGCTTTGCATCTCTTGGAACTGGAATTAAGGATGGTTTGTAGCCACCATGTGGGTGCTGGGAATTGAACCCAGGTCCTCTGCAAGAGCAATCAGTGCTCTTAACTGCTGAGCTATCTTTCCAGCCCTAGAGAGTGGAGCTTTTTATCCACAGCTTGGTTGGCGGGGTCGGGGGTGTGTATGGAACAGAACAACTAGCAGAGTGCACCCATCTTCATTGGCTAATGTAGATGAGGTTGGCAGAGGGTACCTGAGGGTACAGGGACTCAGCTTCACCTTGCTTACTGACCCTGAGCCTTGGGCTGGATGATCCTCTTACCTCTTTCCCCCTAGACAGCTGTCAGGGAGGACATGAAGATCCCATTACCTAGGGCCAACAAGGAATTAGCTCAGACCAACCTTGGCAGTTCTCTGCTGTCATTCCTGCTTCTCAGTCTCCTTCCTACCTGTACCCTTTTCCACCCTAGCTCATGGCTCTGAGGACAAGAAAGATAAGATGCTGGGGACATAGAGGCATACAGGATGCCTGTTCTCCCCTGGCAGCCCTGGCCTGGGACCACCCCATCTTGACTTCTGAAGATCCCTAAAGGGCAAGTCAGTCTTTTGAAAGCCTGAGTGAACTTCATCTTATATTTACGTATTTTCCTACATATAAAGATGAGTGCAACAGAGAAGTCCATGGGAAGAGGAAGATAGAAGTGCCCACATGTTCAGAGGGTCCCCTGGCCAGAAACTAGTGGATGTAGTTCTTGCCACCCTCAAGGCAGCATTCAGTGCAGTATAAACTGGCTCCTTCAGGGATAGACCCAGAAACCTTGGCCAAGTTCCAGGACACAAGCCAGGCAAGCAGGATGTTGAAGATGATATTCTGGAGCCAATGGTCTCAGTGCATGGGACAGGAGTGTCTCTGGCTGCTGTTCACAGCAGGGAAACCAGGGGGCAGATAGATTGCATAAGGAAGAGCTTCTATAGTGTGACTAGTCCTTGGAATTCCATCAGAGTAACTCCACCTTTCAGCAAGCCCATGTTCAGCTGTCCTACCTGCTAGACTGCAGCTTAACAAGCCATCTTTCCCCCAGTCTATTTGTAGAGACCAGAAGAATCTTTGGTCAGGTCAAGGATGGGGTAGACATACATAACACACATTAACTTTCCCAGATTTTGTCTTACGCTAGTGCCTGTAGTCCTTTTCTGGTTATTTTAACTCTAGGTGATTAGCTAAATCCAAGATTGTGCTATAGATTTACAGCCATATACAATTGGAAGAGACTTGAGTGACTCTGGATGAATGAATGTGACCCTTAGTATTCCTCCTACTGCTTTGTTAGGAACCTCAAATAGACCTTATTTTATTCTTTAAACTGGATTTACAGGTAACTCAGTTTGTATTTTGGGGGCTCTTGGTACCATCCCAGTTTAGAGGGACACTATGCATTTATGTTTTGCTGGAAAAATCACACCATAGCCTCACTGTCAGAAAATGGGAATGACAAGCTAGGTCCTGGGGCTAGAGACCTTGATTTGAGATGTCCATGTACCTCATGAACTACAGCAGGAAGGGACAGGTACTGTGCTATGAGTTTCCCAGTTGCTGAGTCTACCCCACCCTCTCCCTCTCTGCCAAGCTAGCCAGCTCTCTGAAGGTTACTGTGAAGGACATGTGTAGGTAGGATGAATCAGAGACTGTTCATAGCACATGCCTTTGCATCTACAGCATTTTTTTTTGTTGTTGTTTCTTTTGTTTTGTTTTTGTTTGTTGTCTTATACTGCTAGAGATCAAACTCTCACCCATGCTAGGCAAGAACTCTACCCCGGAGCTACATCTCAGTCCTGATTTTTGTTTGTGTATGTATGCTTGAGATGAGTGTCACTATACAACTCAGGCAGGCTTTGAACTCAAAATTTCCCTGCCTCAGCCTAGGAAGGACCTGAGATCAAAGTTAGTGCTATCATGAACTTTTATTCTGTTTGATCTATGCTGTATGTTTATCTGTATTGGTCAGTGATATTTTGGGGAGGCTGTGTGTTCTAGAACGTTTTTGTCCCAGAATTGGGACATAGGGCAGTGCCTTTTCTACAGCTGTTCCAACTATCCCTCCTTCCTTTGCTGAAGCAGCAGAAAAGTCTGGTGTGAGTTGCATGGCACCCAGGCCCAGGTAACTCAGTTTGTATTAAAAAATAAAAAAGGGGGACATGTTGGAAGCTGACTATTCAGGGCTGCCAGGTGCAGGCAGGTCGGTCCCTGGAGAGCAGCCAACAGGATATGGCAAGGCCTGGTCTGACTGACCTGGGGCTGAACCTGTACAAGTCAGTTGCTGGCAATCAGTCTCTGGGTGCATGTCTTTCTCTTCGTAGTTTTGCTTGGGTGCTGCTGACACAATTGCATATGATTAATGAAACTGTGATTATTGAAACTTCGTGGTTCAAAGGAACTTGTGGTTCTGTGTAAAAGTTCTATAGTAAGATTTCCTGCTTTGAGACAAGGTATAAAAGCATTGTAATTCTGCAATAAACTGCCTGCTTGGACATCAGCCTACGGGTCTCCTGATCCCAGCTGTTTCTGTGTCTGTGTATTTTTTCCTTCCTCCCCTACCCTTCCCTCTCAGGTTTTAGGATCCTTGCAGCTGGACTGCGGCACATGGCATCCAAACAGGGACACCTGAGTAAGGGAAAGTGAATACAAGAATACAAGGCTGTTAGGTAAGGGGACTGTCAAGAGTTGACAGAATAGTCAAGAGTGAAATAAAATGGGACAAACAGGCTCTAAGGAGCGTGCTCTCTCTTCAAATGCCCTGCTCTGTGCTTCATGTCCACTCTTGCAATGTTGCGCCTAAATGCTTGGAGCAATTTTTAGATTTTGTGCAGATCTGTCCTTAACTTCTGGAAGAGGGGACCATTAACTTGGGAATTTGGGTATAAAGATGATTTTATGTATGAAATACAAAAAAATTCAATAATTTTTTTTTGTCTTTTTGAGACAGGGTCTCCCTGTAGCCCCAACTGGTCTGGAACTCATTATGCAGACCAGGCTGACCTCAAATTCAAAAAGGTCCACCTGCCTCTGCCTCCCAAGTGCTGGGATTAAAGGCATGCGCCACCATGCCTGGCCAGTAAAATTTAAAAAAAAAAAAAAAGAAATGTGAATATTGTGAACGAGAGGTGGAACAGGCAGAGTGCAATTGGGCCAACAATTTAGGAGTGACTGCTGATATATTAACTAGAGATGGGCTTCATAATGAAGTTAACATGCTTATCAACAAATTAATGTTATTGCTATGCAAGCCTGGCAGCAGCTGCCATCTACTGGTGAAAAGGCTGAAGAACTCTAAAATTTGGCAGGGTCTTGACAAACCATATGAAGATTTTGTCTTTTACTTATTGCAGGCTGTTAGCAGAGTTATAGTAAATGGAGAAGTGGGGGGGACATTACTGATGTAGCAGCTAGCCTATGAAAATGCCAATCAAGTGTGCCAGACTGCTGTCCGACCTTTTAGAAAGAAGAGAACCTTGTCTGATTACATTGGATTGTGGTATGGTACTGGGCCTTCCTATATGCAGGAGTAGCTACTGCTGCTGCTTTTAAGGAAATGACTCCACAACAACTTTTTTTTTTTTTGGTCTTTTTGAGACAAGTTCTACCTGTAGCTCAGCTGGCCTGGAACTTGCTATGTAGACCAGGCTGGCCTTGAACTCACAGAGGTCTGCCTGCCTCAGCCTCCCTAGTGCTGGGACCAAAGGCATGCACCACCATGCCTGGCTTGGACCTCTGTATTAGCTCTAGAAATGGGCCCACAGGCAACCCCCACTGGAGTATATGGGCCTCTCAGAAGGAACTGTGGGATTACTTCTTGGAAGGAATGGGTTGACTATGAAGGGGTTTCATGTTTTGCCTGGGATTATAGATTATGATTACACTGGAGAAATTAAAGTCATGGCTCACTCTCCTATGGGACTATCTACTATCACTACAGGACAGCCCATGGCTCAGCTCATTATCCTGCCTTTGGGGCCTCAGTTAGGTAATGTTCAAGAGACTTGCAAAAGAGGAGATTATGGATTTTACTCCTCTGATCAGGCATTTTGGCTAGAAAGAGTGGAACTAGAATGCCCTGAAACGACCTCAATTATTCAGGAAAATCTTTTCAAGGTCTTACTGATACCAGAGCTGACATTTTCGTTCTCAGCCTCTAACACTGGTCACTTGAGTAGAAGAAGCATGTGGCTTATACTGACCTGCAAGGAATTGGACAAACACAAAATCCTGAAAAAGGTGCAGATTTACTTAATTGAGACTTACTGGAGGGACAGCAAGGTACTTTTCAGCCTTATGTACTCCCTTCCCTCCCTGTTAACCTATGGGGAAGAGCTAGATAAGTTTTCACAGATGGGCATCATAGTCTATACCCCAAGCAAATGTTACAATGGGGATATGACCCTAGAAAGGGTCTCAGTAAATAACAGCAGGGAATTCTTGAGATTCTTATGCCCTCCCCTGGCCCAGGAAGGAAAGGGCTGGGTTTTTCTGTGGGCCACTCATATCTCCTCTTCCCAAATATGCAGATGCTATCATATGGACTAGTTCAAAGCCAGTCTGAGTGGATCAGTGGCTCTTACCCAAAGAGAAGTTAGCTGCTGCTCA